TAGGGCTTGTTCCTTGCCTTACAATTCGATGTAAATTGTGAGAACCACTATATCCACCATGGTTGCATAAACCCAAAAACAATCACGTTTTGATTCGTTACGTTTTTTGAGGATTTCTTTTGAGAAATATGTTATCCTATGTGTGAGAATCATTCCCTCAAAACTTCGTGCAAATATGTGCCACGGTTTGAGAGAAATCACAAACCCTAGTTTCGTGATTTCTTGAAAATTTCAGTTTTTTCAGCCGTTTTGTGGGCTGAATTTAGTGTACAAGGAGATGATTTTTTTTGTATTGTTTTCTTGGGCCTTGTATTCAGCCACATAAGCTTCAAAAACATATAAAATACACATAATTTGGATGAGTATTAAAGAAGATATGGCTTCCTAAACATGCCTTAGCGAATCTGTGGAATTTGGGATTTCTGCAGCAAAATTGGAGGAAAAAAAAAAAAACGTGATTTTATGTTCAGATTTGGGAGCTCTTTTTCGTGCTATTAGAGTCCCTTTTTGGAATTTATTCCTGACATAGAAGTTGTAGCTTGTAATCTGGGCTTTCTAGTGGTATAAGATACGCATCAAAAGGATGCATATCGAGTGAGATATGGTCTTAAGAAAACAAGTCACCCACCAGTCGGAACCCCTCTAATGGTTTTTGTATTTTTTTTGTATTGTTTGCTTGGCTGAATTTAGATACGCATCTAAAGTCACCCACCAGTCGGAACCCCTCTAATGGTCTGTACGACTGGCATGTCGGAACCACCTCTAGTGGTCTGTACGACATCCACCTACTTGGATCCAAGGCGAGCGTGCGGTGTGGTGAATAGTATAAGCACTAATACCAAAGGTGCAGTTTATGAGCTCACAACGCAATCACATCATCATTCATTCATATAAACCATATAAACTCACCTGATACTCACCTGTGCGTCCACGGCACCAATTCACACATATATATGCATCAATTATCAATTCATAACTCATAATATGCATGCATGGCATTCTAGAAATATAATTTCATATAAACGCATTTTCTGGGAAAACAGTAGTATATAGGTAATACGAAAACAAAACTGCCCACTCACTGGTAAGTTGATGGGGTCGTAACCCCCGTGACGTCCCTGGATACGCTCGTCCTCTGGATAGGTGTCACCTATATGCGAAACAACTATAAAAACGTTAATTTAAACACATAACCAACAATTCGAAATAACTTCTCATACGATGCTCAATTTGGGTATATGAATATACCACATCGACCTACTCGACGTCACGGACGTCGAGAAATTTTTAGATAAATTTTTGGAGGCCGCACGCGCCCCCACGCGCCGGGACAGGTACGGGGACATGCGCTCCCACGCGCATCATCCCTAACCTCGGCTCGCCGGACTGAACTTTCCGGCGGCCGGTTTCCGGCCAACTTTGAAACTCCTTGTTCTCCTTCTTTTCTCAACCATTTTCTTCGTATTTTATATCAAAATGAAGCCCCAAACATGTAGAATCACGATACACTACTTTTAAGCTCCAACAACAACTAAATCTCACCGAAAATTTCCAAGCAAAACCGGCCAAAATCGAACCTAGTGATCCCGACGTCCAAAACCTTCAAACGAAGCACTCCAAGCTTCCTTGGGACCTCACTAAGCTCACAATAAGCTTAGAATTCCCTGAAACACAACATTTCACGTGTGCATGAACAATGACCAAAAATGAGGGGTTCGGGTTCACGTGATATCGAAGGTTCCACGTCCTAAAACTAGCACTAATCAACTCAGAACATCACAAGGATGAAGAATCTTACCTTGTTTGCTTCGATCCACTGAGTTTTGGATGGTTTTGGGTCTCGTCCGTACACTTCGAGAGTGAGAGAGAGAGAGAAAGCCGTGAGGGAGGAGAGAGAGAGAGTGCTACGGGAAGGGAGAGAGAGTAGGGGGTTTAGATGGTCCAACATCCAATCCTCACCCTTCATCATCTAATTCCCTAACCAAAATTTTATAAAACTAAAATTTAAATCCAAAACTTATATAGAATTAATCCATATAATGTCACACACACGTACCTTAGCCCCCGCTAAGGGCAAATCCGACATTTGACGTCCTTAATAAGAAAATCTCGGGACGGGTTGTGACAATCTCCCCTCCTTATAGAATTTCATCCCTGAAATTCCCACAATCAAATAAACCGCTTAATACCCATATAACAACCTTGGGTACATCTCTCTCATTCAATCTTTTGTCTCCCAAGTAGCTTCTTCTACAGAATGGTTCCTCCACAACACCTTCACCAAACTCACCGTCTTGTTCCTTAGAACCTTATCTTTCCAATCCAAGATAGTGACTGGTTCCTCATCATATGTCAAATCCGGATTAATCTCTAGCGGTTGAGGAGGGATCACATGCGAATGATCAAAAATATAATGTCGAAGCATAGAGACGTGGAACACATTATGGACCTTAGATAACTCCAGAGGCAACTCCAACCAGTAGGCAACTTCACCAATTCTTTCAGTGATCTCATAAGGTCCAATGTATCTCGGACTTAGCTTTCCTCTTTCTCCAAATCATACCACACCTCTCCAAGGTGACAATTTCAAAAATACCCAAAAATACCCAATCGCCCACATTATACACTCGATCAGTGGCATGTCGATCAGCTAAACTCTTCTGTCGATCCTGGGCTGCTTTCAGATTAGACTTAATCACCTGAATATTTTGGATAGTCTCATCCACAATCTCAGGGCCTTCTAACATTCTTTCACCAACCTCAGACCAACACAATGGCGTACGACATGCCCTACCATAAAGTGCCTCAAATGGTGACATACCAATGCTCGAGTGAAAACTATTATTGTAGGCAAATTCCATCAAGTCCAGACGATCATGCCAGGAATCACCAAATTGTAACACTGAAGATCTCAGCATATCCTCCAACGTCTGAATCGTCCTCTCAGATTGCCCATCAGTTTGAGGATGATAAGCAGTGCTATAAAGCAAATTCGTACCAAGAGCTTCCTGAAAAGCTACCCAAAATTTAGAAGTAAATCTTGGGTCTCGATCAGAAATAATATTCACTGGAACTCCATGATACTTTACAATCTTCGTAATGAACAACTTAGCCAATTTATTCAGAGGATACTTTTCCCTCACTGGAATGAAGTGCGCTGACTTGGTAAGTCGATCTACAATCACCCAAACACCATCGAATCCATTTCGTGTACGAGGAAGCTTATACACGAAATCCATGGTTATATTTCACTAGTACATAACAGCATATTTACCACATCAATTCCATCACGGGCATCAACAGCTCGTGGTAGAAACTATTCAATTACCACGGTTAAATGTAGCTTGTGGTAGATAACATTAATTCACCACGGTCAAATTCTGGCCCGTTGTTAAAAGTAAATAATTTACAACGGTTTTTAATCCCGTGATGAAATATCAAAACCACCACGCGATATACTCGTTGTGGTTACTTCAAACAACCACACAGCCTTTTGAAAATTCACCACGGCATCGGCCTGTGGTGGATGTTTTTTTTTTTTTTTTTTTTTTTAATATTTTGGAGGATATCATATATACTAAAACTCAAACGGGAAGGGACTGTGGATGACCAGTGGGTGGACCATTTTGCCCCTGGATTTTTCCTCTGGCTGTTCTTCTCTTTGGTTCTTGGGGTGCAAAAATGCCGGTTTTGTCCATGCTAGACGCGTGTTGGTAAGGGAATGATGCTGAATTTACGCGTATTGGTCATCTGGGAAAGGAAGAAAGGTGGAAAGGCAGAGCTCTTTCATTTGCTTCCACAGATTTCTCGAGCTCTCTCTCAAGCCTGGAACCCTAGCCTCCGCAAGCGAATCAGGTTTGTCTCTCGCTCTTTCTCTCTCACATATTTTTTTTCAATTCTGGACCGAATTTTGATCATCGTTGGAGCTCCTGCTTCCTCTTATTTTCCGTTTTTCTTTTCCTTTCATTTCTCTCTCTCGCTCTCCGTCACGATTCTCACCTTCTTCAAATTTTCAATTTATTTTGAAGAAAATGTTACCCAAAAAAGCTAGGGTTTCCTGGTGAGTCTTACCTCGACAATATACTTTGTTTGAATGTTTGATTTGAGTTGTTTGAATGTTTTATTTTACTTGAACTAGAGTCTCTGTGTTTCCCTTTGCTGATTGTTGTTTCTTTCGAGCAAAGTCTGGGTGGATTTTGGGAAAACAATCTGTTGTGTTTCGGCTTTTTTTTTTTTTTTTTTTTTCTATCTGGGATTTTCAATTTTTGTCCGAATTTTTGGTTGATTTCAAGCCCAGTTTGGGGTACCTGCCTGCTCCTTAATTAATTTTTTATTAATTTCACTTTAAGCACTAATTATTACAATTCTTCCATTTTTGTTGGTGAAGGTACAAAGAATGGTGTGGACTATGAAGGAAGCTTGCTTTGTGTTGGAAGTATGTTGATGTCTTGGGCTCCCATCAAAATCTCTGATATCACTCCTCCTGATAGGTATTTGCTCTGCACTTTTTTCTCCTTTCATTTTTTCATATGTATACACGAAAACTTTGGGATGTCAATGATAACGTGTCTATATAATTGTACCAACACAATGTACCACTATGTTATTTCGATGCATTTGCTACAAATTTAGGATTTAGATAAGAGTAATGATTGAGATAAGGGTATGATGAGGCTGATATGAACTCAATCCACTTCTTGGCTTCATAACGTGGATGTTGAATGCATGCACTTTTTTAATTTTATATGCAACAAAATCAAATCTTCTATTTGCTTTTGTTTTTTTGCTTGCTTCTGTTTTCAAACTTATTTTAATATAATTTTTGTTTTGGGATTAATTACATGCATAGAGTTTAGTAGATTTGGATTAAATTTTGGTTGAACAGATTGTGCTTAGAGTTTAGTAAGAAGGGGTGCCCTTAATATACATATATACACGCGCATATATATATTTTAGTATATTTTGCCATTAAGTTGTGAGTTGTGGTTATTTTAGGATTACTTTTGAGAAGCATCGTTGGAAACCATCATTGTCAACTATCTGATTGCAATGGACAAAGATTGGCTAACATTTTCGAGGTATATTATCTGCCTCAATGAATTTCATTTTTGACATTGATAACTAGGGTCTGTTTAAAGTGATTAAGATTTATTTATAATACAGACCATCAACAGAATACAGAGAGGGTGCACAAAAGTTTGTACAAGTTGCTAAAGAATATGGAGGAAATCGAGATAAGATCATTTGCCCGTGTATAATATGTCAAAACCAATGTTTTCAACTACCTGCGATTGTGTATGAACACTTGGTTATAAATGGAATAAATCCTTCATATACTACTTGGGTGTTCCATGGTGAACAAGAACCTATTCTTCAACAACATGACTATGCCAACGTGACAGAAACATATCAGATGTATAGGGATGTCTTGGCTGAAGATGATGGAACTGGAAAAGCAAACTTGCTAATTGGAGATGAGAATTTCAAACAAAAGGTTGAAGAAGCTGAAGCTTCTTTATATGAAGGTTGTACGAAATACACAAAGTTGTCAGCAACTGTAGTTTTATACAAGATTAAAGCTTCAAATGGTGCAACAGATAAGCTTTTTGACGAGCTCCTCCAAGCCTTAAAGGACATGTTTCCGGAAGGTAATACACTTCCAAATTCAATGAATTCGACAAAGAAGTTACTTAAGGTGTTTGATTTAGGGTTCGAGAAAATAGATGCATGTGTAAATGATTGCTGCTTATTTTGGAAAGACTTTGAACAACTTGAGACGTGTCCAAAGTGTGGTTCTTCACGTTGGCAGGTTGGTAAACGTAATAATCACATTTACAAAGGAGTTTCTGCAAAGGTGTTGCGCTACTTTCCTATTATACCAAGATTTAAGCGAATGTTTAAGGATGATGACATGGCCAAAGACTTAACATGGCATCATACTAACAAAAGTCAGGATGGTAAGATGCGACATCCAGTTGATTCGCCAACATGGGAGTCTATTGACACTAGATATCCTGATTTTGCCTCAGATCCACGAAACTTGAGACTTGGTAAACCCATTCCGCCAGATAAGCTCTAGATATAGTTGTTGGCCAGTTATATTAGTTACATACAATCTTCCTCCATGGTTAGCCATGTCGAAAGAGAATTTGATGTTGACGTTAATAATTCCTGGGAAGAAACAACCCGGAAATGATATTGATGTTTACTTGCAACCACTCATAGAAGATTTATGTGTGTTATGGAATGAAGGAGTGGGTGTATTTGATGCAACTACAAATTCTACTTTCAATTTGAGGGCTATTTTGATGTGGACAATCAGTGATTATCCCGCTTATGGTAACTTGGCTGGATGTTTTACAAAGGGCAGGTTTGCTTGTGTGGCATGTGGTGCTAACACGCGATCTGAGGTTGCCATTTAGTAAGAAGCATGTATATACCGGCAATAGAAGATTTCTTCCACCTTCTCATGAGTTTCGCAAGAAGGGTAAATGGTTTGATGGGAATGATGATATTGGGCAAAAACCAAGGGTATTGACAGGTGAAGAAGTTTTATATGCTTTCGAAGCAGCTGGAAGGGATTGGGGAAAAAAGTCAACTACACAAAAAGGCACAAAAAGGAAGATGAGTGTAAAGAAAGGTGTACAGACAACAGGAAGTGATCCTATTAACATATGGAAAAAGAAATCAATTTTCTTTGATTTGCCGTATTGGAAGGTTTGACAATTACACTTAACATTTAACTATAAAGAAAAGTATGATTTTTTTCACAACTAATTTGCTTATTTTTGCTTGTTTTGCAGAAATTATGTTTGAGGCATAATTTGGACATCATGCACATAGAGAAAAATGTTTGTGAAAGTATTGTTGGCACATTGCTACATATTAAAGGTAAATCAAAGGATGGACTTAATTGTCGTAAAGATTTAAAGGAATTGGGTATTTGGCATGATTTATGCATAACTGAAGAGAAAGGAAAAAAGATGAAACTACCTCCAGCACTTTACAACTTCTCTAAAGCAGAGAAACATATTTTCTGTAAGAGGTTGTTCGATATGAAGGTACCGGATGGTTATAGCTCAAATATTAGTAATTGTGTGGATCTAAGTGACTGCAATCTAATTGGACTCAAGTCCCATGATTGTCATGTCCTAATGCAACAATTGTTGCCAGTAGCAATAAGAGGTCTTTTGCCTAAAGGTCCAAGACATGCAATCTTTCGGTTGTGTGTATTTTTCCACGAACTCTATCAAGGAGTTATTGACAAAAGTAAGCTGGAAGTATTGGAGAATGAGGTTGCAGAAACAATATGCATGCTTGAGAAGTATTTTCCACCTTCTTTCTTTGATATTATGATTCACCTTACAATCCATTTAGTGAGGGAAGCTAGGCTATTTGGACCTGTTCATTATCGTTGGATGTATCCTTTTGAAAGATACTTTCGTATTTATATTTCTAGTATTAGCCTATTTTTTTGTTTTTCTATTTAGATGACTTACTAGTTTATGACATGATTAAATTTCTTTCAGATTTATGAAGGTGTTAAAGGATTATGTTAGAAATCGAGCACGACCAGAGGGGTCTATGGTAGAGTGTGTCTTAGCTGACGAGTGTGTGAAATTTTGTAGTAAGTACATAAAACAAGCTGAAAATATCGGTTTACGACATAACCGATATGAGGATGAATCAATTGTTATTGGGAATCCTATTTCAGCTGGTGTGACAATGACCATGTCTTCAGAAATGTACCAAATTGCTCATCGTTACATATTGTTTAATAGCTCAGAAGCTGAGCCATATCGAGAGTGAGTTATGCACCCTTTTAGAAGCTTATGTGCATTGTATTTTATTAAAACTTCATAACATATTATTTTGTTCCACAATGCATGTTGAGGAGCTTAAGTATTCAGATCCGAGCCTTGTAGGCAAATTGAACAAGCTACATAGGATGCATGCAACTCAATTTTCATCTTGGCTCCGCAATAAGGTTGGATTTATATTCTTCTACTTTCTTTTTTTTTACTTTTAGGTAGGTAATTTGTAGTTCCAACAATATTATGTTTTTAGCATTCCATTAATTATTGAACAGGTTATTGCACTTGGACCGATAACACAAGTAATGTCATATTCAAGATATGTTGTAAATGGAAGGCGTTTTTGTACAAGAGCAAGTGAGAAGACTACACAAGACAGTGGTGTTTATCTTGAAGCTGAAACATCGGTCAATGGCACCGAAGAGATTAAAAAGGTTTTATACTATGGGGTGATTCAAGAGATTCTAGTGATGGACTATTACATGTTTCGGGTCCCCATATTTAAATGTGATTGGGCGAATACTAGTAATGGCATTAAGGTTGATGATGGATTTACTTTGGTCAACCTGCATCGTCTAAATCAATTTCAAAATGATCCATTTATTCTCGCTTCACAGGCCAAACAAGTATTTTATTCAAGAGAGAGTGAAACGTCTGATTGGTATGTTGTTCTAAAAGCACCTCCAAAAGGGTTCCATGACTTGGGAAAGTTTGACGAGGATGCTTACATGTCATATGCCCCATTAGATGTTTATAAACTTGATGATTATGTAGGTGATGAAGATGAAGGTTATGTTCGGGCAGATTGTGAGGCCATTCCTGTGTAAAACTAGACTATTATTGAATGAAAACATTTTTCACAAATTTCTCTACCTTTTTCTGGATCTTCTTAGGAAAACTGATATTTATGTGTATGGTTGTTTTTTTTTCTTCAAATCAGAATTAAATGAAAACGAAAAATTTCTCACCATAAAGTCCCCAACATGTATTGTTCCCATCTCCACCAACTGACCATTCTCTAATCCCAGTTATTTTACTATGTATTCTTTTGCTCGGCCAATTTTCTTCTTTGTGGCTCCTTTGGCGGCAGAGCAAATTTCTGTTTGAACCTCACAGGTTCAGAGAAGCTCATACACAAAAGTAAAGATGATTCGGAAAGCATCCACATGTTAAAAAAAAATCATAAGCTCTACTCTTTACACTTGTCTTCTTGACGACAAGCAAATGTACAGGCAAGCAGCAATATTGCATCCCGATTTCTTCCTCTAGTGTAAATATTTTAAATTGAAGATCGAATTCATTCATTGTATTCATATATGGTCAAAGAGTGTAGCTGTAAAAAGTCATCAAAATCGGAGTTAAAATAACCGTTAAATCGTGATTTTTCGTTGATAACCGTCGAAAAGTTTTGTCCCGTTACTCGATCTCTGAATGTTTGTTTTTTGCAATTTTTGGTGTATGCGATCTCGAAGTATATACAAACAAGTTTGACGGTTGGATCGTTGAAATTAGTTTCGTAGAATGCGTATCCCATCAAAACGATAGATTCGCTAACACTTAAAAGTTTATTTATACTTTCATTAAGTATAATATAAGATTTTGTGGTATCCATTAATGTAAATATTTTAAATTGAAGATCGAGTTCATTCATTATATTCATATAGGGTCAATGAGTGTATCTGTAAAAAATCATCAAAATTAGAGTTAAAATAACCATTAAATCGTGATTTTTCGTTGATAACCGTCGAAAAGTTTTGTCCCGTTACTTGATCTCTGAATGTTTATTTTTTTCAATTTTTGGTGTATGCGATCTCGAAGTATATACAAACATGTTTGACGGTTGGATCGTTGAAACTAGTTTCGTAGAATGCGTATCCCATCAAAACAATAGATTCACTAATACTTAAGAGTTTATTCATACTTTCATCAAGTATAAAATAAGATTTTGTGGTATCCATTAGTGTAAATGTTTTAAATTGAAGATCGAATTCATTCAGTGTATTCATATACGGTGAAGAAGTGTAGCTGTAAAAAATCATCAAAATTGGAGTTAAAATAACCGTTAAATCATGATTTTTCGTTGATAACCGTTGAAAAGTTTTATCCCGTTACTCGATCTCTGAATGTTTGTTTTTTGCAATTTTTGGCGTATGCGATCTCGAAGTATATACAAACAAGTTTGACGGTTGGATCATTGAAATTAGTTTCGTAGAATGCGTATCCCATCAAAACGATAGATTCGCTAACACTTAAAATTTTATTCATACTTTCATTAAGTATAACATAAGATTTTGTGGTATCCATTAATGTAAATATTTTAAATTGAAGATCGAGTTCATTCATTGTATTCATATAGAGTCAATGAGTGTAGCTGTAAAAAATCACCAAAATCGGAGTTAAAATAACCGTTAAATAGTGATTTTTCGTTGATAACCGTTGAAAAGTTTTGTCCCGTTACTCGATCTCTGAATGTTTGTTTTTTGCAATTTTTGGTGTAGGCGATCTCGAAGTATATACAAACATGTTTGACGGTTGGATCGTTGAAACGAGTTTCGTAGAATGCGTATCCCATCAAAACAATAGATTCACTAACACTTAAGAGTTTATTTATACTTTCATCAAGTATAACATAAGATTTTGTGGTATCCATTAGTGTAAATGTTTTAAATTGAAGATCAAATTCATTCAGTGTATTCATATACGGTGAAGAAGTGTAGCTGTAAAAAATCATCAAAATTAGAGTTAAAATAACCGTTTAATCATAATTTTTTGTTGATAACCGTCGAAAAAATTTGTCCCGTTATTTGATATTTGAATGTTTGTTTTGCGATTTGACCAAAACAAATAAAAAATGATAATTACAATTCGATGGAATCTGCTAACCTCGGTCATCCCTCTGCTCCCTCTTGATCTCTCTCTCCCAGTGTCGAGAAATTATAGAGTAGTATGCTTTCATTAAATCTCACAATCTGTCCTTAATTATGTTTTATGGAATTTTATTATCATTTTGACCTTTTAAAAATTAAAAAAAAAGAAAAGAACAAACAGAGGAGATGGACGGTCTCCTTCCCCATCCGACCCAACCCCTCCCTCTTCCCAGCCATTCCTTTCTCCCCCAAAACCCAGCCCACCTTCTTCCCCAAACCCCAAGCCATTCCTTCTTCCCAAAACCCAACCTTCCTTCTTCCCCGAACCTAGCTTTCCTTCATCCTCAAACCCTATCTTCAACGATTTCTTTATCTAAAAATGATGATTCTCAAATGCAGTCTTCCTTCTTCCCCAAAACGCAGCCTTCCTTCTTCCCTTGGCTGGAGGTCCTTTTTTTATGGTTATCAATTTTTTTACCCCAGATTGCGAAATCCACAAAACCTTCAATACGGTTCTCATCGATTGAGAGTAACCATTACTCTCCTCCCTCTCGATTCATGATACCTGAGCTCCCTCCCTCAGCTTCTCTAAAGTCGACGACTCCGAGTCTCCGACCACCACCATCTGCTCCTCTCAACTTCGACCACCACCTCATGGTCATGAGTCTCCTGACTCCTGAGTTCTGACCAATCCATTTCGAAGCCACAAGGTAATTCAAATATCTATAAGTATCATACCCTAAACATTTTTTATTGTATGTTAAGTACCAATTACTGTATAATTTGCACCTCGGTTAGGAACCATGGATAGATTACCGCAATGTTCTTTAAGTTTTCAAAGGGTCTATTCACTAATTTCTCTTTTGGGTTATTTTTGGATTTGGACCCTGCATTGGATGTCTTGGAGATGTTAATTTGGATTGGATTTGGATGTTATTTTGGATTTGGAATTTGGATGTTATTTTGGAATTGGAATTTGGATGTTATTTTGGATTTGGAATTTGGATTTGGATAATAATATTAATATGTGCTGCTGGGCACAATCTGTGCTTCAATACTCCCCTAATATGTGCTGCTGCAGTGCACTGCAGTGCATCCTCAATTCTTGAAGACAGCTCCTGTGAGTGTATGTGCTGCTGCAGTGCTGTTGTGCATTGCAGTGCAGCGGCTGGAGCCTTTTTTTTATAAAAATGATGTATATAAGAGAGTTGCAACCCGTGCCCACCCCTAGTATCAGAGTCCCAATAAACTTTTAATTTTATGGCTATAAGAGAGTCCGAATGATAATATAATTGTAAAACAATTAACATAATAATAGTTAATATATTTTTTATTGGAAAGAAAACTTAATTAAAAACCCACGATGCCAACAAACTGCCGTGCAAAGTTCCCACCACCAGTCGCTTGCAGTTAATATTTGGCTATCCCCTCAATCCTTCTCTTCACATCGTTCTTTTTTACTAGGATGCAAAGATTATTCACTGATCTCTCTCTGTAAATTTGGTTTAAATTTTTAGGTGTCTATGGATTTTGATGGTTTGCCAGACGGTGACGAGATGCACTCAAGTGATGATGTGAATGAAGCAAAAAAGAGAAAGGGAAGAGGTCCAACAATGTTGGATTATAATGCTCTGTCAAAGGCCAAACAAATTGGCGTTCAATTCAATGACAAAGGACAACATTTTGGTGCTGGATCAGCGAGTTTGAGTTCGTCGGCAGGGATCCTTGCAAGACAACTAATACCAGTAACTTACGCAAGTTGGGATGAGGTTCCTACAATTTTGAAAGATAAATTATGGGCTGCTGTGAAGGTAAAAGTTATAACCGAAGCTGTGCTCTTATTTCCTAACTAGTTTGTTCTTCTATAATACATATAAAAAATCAATTATCTTTTTTATGTTAATAAAGATTCATGGTTAATGCAGCAAAAATACGATTTGGCACCCTGTCGTAAGAAGATATTATTAACACAAATGTCTGGATGTTGGCGTACATACAAAGCCACGTTGACAAAACAAATAAGATCCCTTGATGATGGTCCTGATGCAATGGAACAAATGCAACTCTTGAAGCCTGCTAATGTTGAGAAACAGGCTGATTGGGACAAATTTGTTAAACATCGATGCTCTCCTGAGTTTGATGTAAGCTTGTTTGTATTAAATTTTAAATTAATGATTAGGTTTTCTATGCATGGATGTTGGTTAAATGAAGTTCCTTGTTATCTATTTTTCTTTGTTAGGCAATTAGTGAGAAGTTCAAAAAGTTGAAATCATTCCATACTCTCCCTCATGTGATGAGTCGTAAAGGATATGCACGCTTGGAGGACGAGCTGGTATGAACCTTTGTATATATTTTAATTTCATTTCAGTGACAACACACTTATACGAAGTTTAAAATTATGGATTAATTAATAGAGAAACAAAGGTACACCTGAGGAGGATTTAAATAGAGTCAGTCTTTGGATAGTTGCTCGTACAAGAAAAAATGGTCAACCCGTAAATGAGATAGTGTCAAAGAAAATGGTACGAAGCTTCAGTTTGAAATTATCCTTGTGTTATTTTTTGTTCATTTTTCTTTTAATCTTGTAAATGATTTTTAAATGTATAGGATGACATTAAGTTGGCTAATGAAATGCCAACAACAGACAATGGTTCTATAAAAGATGATGCCTTATCACAAGCACTTGGACCTGAACATCGAGGTCGACTTCGTGGAGGTGGTTATGGGGTTACACCTTCTAGATATGATGCCCAAACATATGCCAGCATGAGTAATCGAGAGCTTAGAGACCGACTACAAAATGTCGAAGGAAAATTGCGGGAAGTGTTTGATCTTGTGTTGGCTAAACAACAAAATGAGGTAATTATATATGCAACTTTGTATATATTTATAAAATGATAAAAGATTTACGGCATGATCAATTTGTATATATAGTTAGAGCTTACTTGAGGGAAGCTAATGGTTCCATCGTAAATACCCACCAACACTGGATGAATATTTGTCAGCAATACTTGATACATCCAACTTTACCCTAGCAACCACATCTTTTATCGGAAAGGGAGATATTTGTTACAAAAGACTCATTGGATTGGTTTTTTATTGAGTACAAATAAAACAATAACGGTCTAAAAAATATATTCTAACTTCTAATCATATCGCTGCAGGGAAATGGTAAAGAAACTAATACCAATGATGCAATTCAAGTCTCCACAAATAGGCCTCAGGTAAAAATGTGTCATTAGTAAATATTGGTATTTTGTTGAATCTGAAATTGATCAACTTCTATTTCTTGCGTATTCACTAGTCGCAGGGAGGCTGTATAGATCTCCAAAGAACTAAGAATGGTGTAAAACAGGTTCCCAATTCCAGTTACCAGGTTTCCAGATCATCTCCCCAGGTATGAAACTGATTTTGTTTAACTTGTCTCGATGTCTTCATCATTAGATAGAAAGAAAATAGTGAACATGTTCACTTTCAGGCTTAGTTAGTCTATGTAGCTAATAGTTTCTTTGCATCTATCTTGTTATCAGTTGTTTCTTTTGATTTTGATTATTTGCATTTATCTTTTTATCAGTTACAATGTAATAAGAAAAGTGCACCAGAGGCTAACGATGGTTCTAGACACACTTCAAAAGCTAGTTCTCAGGTACATATATGATCCCAAGTATAGCACAGTGGAAATATAATAAGACATAGCAGATGTTGATAATTAGATTGTTTTTGTTTTGTTATTAGATACAATGTGATAGAAGAAGTGCACAAGAAGCTGACGATGCTTCTAGACAAGCTTCCAAAGCTAGTTCCCAGGTATACGAGAACAAGTACTAAATAGTTAGCTTATGAAACTTATGAGATTTTGATATAAATTGATCGAATTTTGTGTCTTCCATGTTTGGTTGTCACAGAGAAGTAGTCCAAACATAAAAAGAGACAACATTAAGAGAAAAGAAGGTTCTAAAGCCACTTCTCAGGTAGTAAACACATGCTTGATAATAATTGTTAAATAGTTTGATAACTTAATCATTTAAAATTGATGTTCTTATTTGATTTCTTTATGCTAGTTACAACCCGTTGGTATTTTACGAGGGTCTTCATGCAAGTTACTAAATTGGCTCAGAAATGGACAAGTTGTTGCAACTGGAGAAATAGAATCAACAAATCCTGAGGCGAAAGTTCATCACATGGTGCTTGGTCCTGATTGCTGGAAAGTTTGGGTAACTGTTGTCAAAGTGGAGAATATATCTTTGTACCGCCCTACAAGTGAATTTCGTGTCCTGGAGGATGCTGTGTCTAGTACAATTGCCTGGCCATCAAAGTACGTCCGAGTTGGAGAGTAATTTTAGTTCGTACTTAGACTAGAAAATGGTACTTTGACACTACATAGATAGTACTTTATGACTTCCGTTTATGTATTCATTAGGCACTACATGGATAATACTTTATGACTTCCGTTTATGTATTCATTTGGAAACTCAAGTATTTTTAAATTATGTTATAATATTATCAAGTATTTTTTATGTGCTTATTATATTGTAGTAAATCTGCAATTTTGTTGGTTATTCTATACTAAAATATATAAATACAGATATATATATATATATTTGTTAAATGATTTTTTTTTTTAATTTTGGAAAATAATTTATAACGGGCATTAGCTGTGGTTAATTAGTAATCGACAACGGTCATAGCACGTGATGTTAGATCTCAATCTACCACGGGTACAATCCGTGGTTATATTGCAGTTGACAACGGGCATAGCCCGTGGTAGAAATTAAACTTTTAATCACATCCAGAATACTAACGGGCATAGTGTCCGTGGTGGATTGCCATTTAGCACGGGCATTAGCTGTGGTTAATGAGTAATCGACAACGGTCATAGCACGTGGTGTTAGATCTCAATCTACCACGGGTACAATCCGTGGTCATATTGCAGTTGACAACGGGCATAGCCCGTGGTCGAAAATTAGACTTTTTATCACATCCAGAATACTAACGGGCACAGTATCCGTGGTGGATTGCAATTTATCACGGGCATTCACCGTGATAGATGAACTTTTTTCTTCTAGTGTTTTCCCATTTCCACTGGGGAACGGGAAGTGGCTGCATTCGCCCAAAATGCTTCTTTCTTTCTGCTTTAACTTGCTGGCAAATAATACATCTATTCACATACTCAGCAATTTCCCTCTTCATACCCGGCCAATAATAAAATGGTCGAATGGTATGATACATCTTAGTTCCTCATGGATGCATCGCATAAGCTGAACAATGCGCTTCATCCAAAATCATCTTCTTTAATTCCTCATTATTCGGAACATACATTCTGTTCTCCTGCATAAGCATACCATCTGATTCTCGAATCCTGAGGTCTTTCTTTTTCCCTTCATTTCTTAATTGAACCATTTCTTGAATTTCTTCATCCACCATCTGAGCTTCGAGTATATGATCCACCAAAACTGGCCTGACTTGAAAACTAGCAAGAAAAGCTTCGCTTCGATCTTCCAACTCCAACTTTACTCCAGTTGTCCTCAGTTCAGCAAGAAGGGGAACATGACAAGCATATAAAGCATTGAGTCTACCTTGAGGTTTCCTACTCAGTGCATCAGCTACCACATTAGCACGACCCGGATGATACTCAATAGTGCAGTCATAATCATTTAATAATTCCATCCATCTTCGCTGACGAAGATTAAGATCATGTTGAGCAAATAGATACTGAAGACTCTTGTGATCAGTGAAGATCTTACACTTCTCACCATATAGATAATGCCTCCAAATCTTCAAAGCAAAGACAATGGTTGCCAATTCAAGATCGTGAGTAGGATAATTCCTTTCATGATTTTTCAACTGTCGAGAAGCATAAGCAATCACTCTATTATGCTGCATCAAAACACATCCCAAACCATTCAAGGAAGCATCACTGTAAATCTCAAAATTACCGTTATCATCAGGAAGTACCAATACTGGAGCATGAGTGAGGCAATCTTTCAATTGCTGGAAACTTCGCTCACAATTCTCATCCCACTCGAATTTAACATCCTTCCTGGTCAACTTCGTTAACGGCAAAGCAATCATAGAAAAATCCTAAACAAACCGTCGATAATAGCCTGCCAAACCAAGAAAACTTCGTACCTCAGTGACGGTTCGAGGTTGCTCCCAGTTCTCCACTGCTGCTATCTTTTGCGGATCTACTTGAATTCCTTGAGTCGATACAACATGCCCCAAAAATGCCACTTCAGTCAACCAAAACTGACATTTACTGAACTTGGCATACAATTGATGTTCCCTCAACTTCTTTAATACCAAGTTAAGGTGTCGGATATGATCTGCTTTAGATTTAGAGTATACCAGAATATCATCAATAAAAACAATAACAAATTTATCAAGATATTGCTAGAATACCTCGTTCATCAACCTCATGAAAGTTGCAGGTGCATTGGTTAACCCAAATGGCATAACCAAAAATTCATAATGTCCGTAACGGGTTCGGAAAGCCGTCTTAGGTACATCTTCATCCTTAATCTTCAACTGATAATAACCAGATCTCAAGTCAATCTTAGAGAATACACACGCACCTTTCAGCTGGTCAAACAAATCATCGATGCGAGGCAATGGATAACGGTTTTTAATCGTTACCCGGTTCAATTGCCTATAATCAATCCATAATCTCAGAGTTCCATCTTTCTTTCTCACAAATAATACTGGAACTCCCCAAGGTGACGAACTAGGTTGAATGAAACCTTTATCAAGTAATTCTTGTAACTGAATTTTTAATTCTCTCAACTCAGCTGGAGCCATTCTATAAGGAGTTAGAGATATAGGATCAGTACCTGGAAGTAAATCAATAGAGAATTCCACATCTCTGTCTGGCGGCAACCCCGGCAAATCATCAGGAAATACATCAGGATAATGCCTGACCACACCAACTTCTCCTATACTGGTAGGAACAACATCATTTAACACCACATGTGCTAAATATCCTTGGCAACCCTTCGATAATAACTTCCTTGCTCTTATGGCAGAAATAACATCATGTCTCACCCCACTTCTTTCACCCACAAAAGTAACCTCGGGTAGTCCATGACGATAAAAAGTAACCGATTTCCCATAACAATCAATATGGGCACGATTATAATGCAACCAATATGCTCCAAGAATCACATCAAAATCCACAATATCTAACGGAATAAGATCAACTGGCATAACTACGCCCTCTACCATCACTGGACACCCAAGATACACACTATCAACATAACATTTATCTCCTCTAGGCATGGCAAACTCTAAATCAAATCCTAGAGGCGACGGGTGAGGTTGAGTCATTTGAGCAAACGTATGAGAAATCACAGAATGCGTAGCACCACAATCAATCAAAACCCTAGCAAAATGACCAAGAACATTTAACGTCCCCATGATCAAGTCTGGATGGTTCTGAGCATCTTGAAGTGAGATGTGATTAACACGCCCCTGAGCTTGCTGTCGTCCACCACGACCTCTGATGCCCTGATTACCTCGCCCCTAAGAAGTACGTCCCTGGCCTGACTGACTAGGCTGCCTAGATGATTCTGCACCACCAGCAGTAACTTCTCCCTGACGGGGCTGACCTCCCTGATGCCACTGAGATCCACCAGCTGGCATGGAAGAATAAGAAGAATAACCCCTAAAGTCCTGGGAATACCCTGTCTGAGAATAAGGCTCCTTGGGATACTGATAAGGTCCAGAAGCATAAAGAGCAGCATCTCCCTAGTAGTGGTAAGCACCACCACGACCCGACTGGCCATAATTGCCTGGTCCAAAACTCTGCTGAATCGGCACTGGAGGTGGCATAGTGGTCTGCTGAGGTCTCTGCTGACCTTGGGGACAGTGAGAAGCCCGATGTCCCATTTGCCCACAAGTATAACAAGCACAACCACATCTCCTGCACTCACCATGATGACGAAAATTACAACGGCGACACCACGGAGCACCAGAACCACCAGCATCACCGGAATCCCTCTGCCTCTGAAATCTGGGTCCACCAGAAAATCTTCCACCACCTCTCCTCGGGCCAGTAATACTATATCCACCACTAGAAGAACTCGAACTCGCCCCACTCTTCTTAAAATTCTGAGTCTTGCGAGGTCCCGGAATAGAGATACCTTTACCTTTATCATCATTCTTCTGACCATCATTCTTGTCTTCGTCATCCTCACTCTCACTGGGAAGATTATCGGAGTCCTCCATCCTAACCAAAATCTCAAAAAACTCATGATAATCGGCGCAGGGAAGTGCACTGGAAAAAGTCCGCCATTTTCTCTTAGTTCCCAACTTGAAACGTCGAAGCATCTCTACCTGATTACCAGCTGTATCAGGGTCATAACGTGACAAATCAGTAAACTTTCTGTAGTACTCATAAGCTGACATATTCCTCTGTTTCAATCGAGTAAACTCTTGCTTTTTACGATCAATGTATTCTGGAGGGACAAATCTCTTCATAAAGTTCTCTTTGAATACTTTCCAGTCAGCAGCCGTCTCAGGTGACATGTACCTAGTCTGATTTTCCCACCAAGCTACTGGCTCACGGCCCAAAAACCAGGTAGTGGTCTCAACCCACCTATCAGCAGGAAAGTTCCCCTGACTTTGCATCACCTGAAACGTCTTTTCAATATGGTCTAGCCATTTCTCTGCCCCCTCGTGACCCTCATCACCCATAAAATGATCTAATTTCAAGTTGTACATGGTCTCCAGGGATTTTCATATTTCTTGGAGGAAGATAATCTCTAATATTTTGAGTTATTGAGTTAGTTTATATTGCTTCTCTCGATTGAGTATTTTAAACGGGAGATTATATCATTTAATTGCTCCTTTTGAGACTTGAGCATTAAATGGAGAAAAATATTATTTTGTAGAATATTATTTCATGAGATTAATTCTAATTAGGTGATTTTATTTTCATATTATACTGGTTATCAAATTAGAATTAGAATTACTAAGAGATTATCTCCTATTATCTCTTGAATTAATAATGTGGATTGATTATTGATAGGATCATATTTATGCGACTTAATTAGCTTGTTTCCTTGCATTTACGTTGCTAGTACTTAGTAATTTTAGTATTTTAAGCTATTTTTGATGCAATTTCAGGTTTTAAGGACAAAGTATGCAAACATGCGCATTTTGGAGCCTTTTGGAGCCTTTTGGAGCAGTTTTGGGCATGGAATGGATAGCTTATGCTTGGAGCAAGGTGGATGGATGAAATTGAAGATCAAAGGAGGCTAGGAATGAATAATGAAATGAAGAAATGAAAATGAAGAACAAAGAGTTCAGAATTGGAAACCAAAGTTTCTAATCTTGGAGGTTTCCATTCTTGAAAGTTTCTATTCTTGGCTTGGAAGTTTCCTAATCCTTCCTCACCTATGTTCCAGCCACAAAAGGATTCCAAAAATATGTTAGGACATTTAATTACATATTCTAGAAGCCCTA